AGCTCCCCAGGTCTCCTCGTCGCATGCTGCAGCTCCCCAGGTCTCCTTAACGCAAGCCGTGTTCCCTTTGGCCCTGTGTTTTGGACGGCCTCCCGGCCACCCCCCTGACCTGGCCTGATTTGATGGACAGCATCCCGGCCGCCTGCCGGAACAATGACTCTTTGGGACGATCCCTTGACCGTCCAAGTCCCTTGTGATCCCTCGTGTTTTTTCTCTGGTTCCTCGTGTCCCTTCTCTGGTTCCTCGTGTCCCTTCTCTTGTTCCTCGTGTCCCTTCTCTGGTTCCTCGTGTCCCTTCTCTGGTACCTCGTGTCCCTTCCTCTGGTTCCTCGTGTCCCTTCCTCTGGTTCCTCGTGTCCCTTCCTCTGGTCCCTCGTGTCCCTTCTCTCTGGTCCCTCGTGTCCCTTCTGTGGTCCCTCATGTCCCTTTTCTCTGTGGTCCCTCGTGTCCCTTTTCTCTGTGGTTCCTCGTGTCCCTTTCTCTGTGGTTCCTCGTGTCCCGTTCTCTAATCCCTCGTGTCCCGTTCTCTGGTCCCTCGTGTCCCTTTCTCTGGTCCCTCTGTCCTTGTCTCTGGTCCCTCGTGTCCTTTTTCTCTGGTCCCTCGTGTCCCTTTTTCTCTGGTCCCTCGTGTCCTTTTTCTCTGGTCCCTCGTGTCCTTTTTCTCTGGTCCCTCGTGTCCTTCTTCGCTGGCCCCTCTTGTCCTTCTTCTCTGGCCCCTCGTGTCCTTCTTCTCTGGCCCTCGTGTCCTTCTTCTCTGGTCCCTCGTGTCCTTCCTCTGGTCCCTCGTGTCCTTCCTCTGGTCCCTCGTGTCTTTTCTCTCTGGTTCCCTCGTGTTTTCCTCGGGCCCTCCACCCTTGCAGTGCCACCCTCCACCCGCCCTAGTCCTTGGGGAGGGTTTTTTTTTTGGGGACGCCTGGAGGCGTCCTTGGGGGGGGTACTGTAAGGATGGTACTTTTCTGTGGCCCGGTTTGTGTCTGTTTCCCTCGTGCTCCCTCATTAGTGCCACCTGTGTCTCGTCCCAGCTGTTTGTTATCATGTCTCGTCTTGTCCCTGTATTTAAGCCGTCCTATTCTGTCTTGTTCTTTGTCGGGTACTCTTCCTTGGGTACTCTTCCTTGGGTCTCCTGAGTCTTTCCCTGAGTCTTCCTGGTTCCTCGAGTTCCCCGTGTCTCTCGTGTCTCCTGAGTTCCCCGTGCCTCCTTCCTATGTTCATGTAAGTTTTGCTGCCCCGTCAGCTTGTTTATTTTGTACTTTTATTCCTCATTAAAATCCTATTTTTGTATTTCTGCCGAGTTGAGTCCCTGTTCTGCACTCTGGGTTCGCTCCTGACACAAATCCTAACACCAACATCTCTCTAAGAGCAGAATCCTTCAAAAACACAAGGATTGGAGTCTCCACCTGGACCTGATCCTCCAGATTTGGAGCAGGTTCGGAAAAGCGGAAGTGAACCTGATGGTCACACAAGAAAATGCTCAGTGCAAACTATTTTTCTCTCTGAACCCATGGGACAAACCATCATTGGGGTGGACACGTTTGCGCAAAAACCATGGACGAAAAAAATGATTTATGTTTTTCCCCAACCCTGCTAATAGCTCCTCTATTGGATCAGGTACGGGAGGAACTATTGAGAATAATTATGATTGCTCCAGAACGCATGAACACTCCGTCATTTCCAAGTCAACAACAACTGACAATAGGCCGACAGTGGCAGCTGCCGTGGTGAGAGGATGCCCTCTCACAGGTCGGAGGAACAATCAGGAACTTCCCAGTAATAGGCCAGCGCCTCTGAGTCTGGCCGCTGAATGGGATTGCCTAAAGCATATGGGTCTCTCTCAGGATGTGGTGCGCACAATTCAGGGTACATGCATGGCTTCCACTACAGCTTGTTGTACATCTAAGTGGACAGCTTTTCAGCAATAGTATATTGAGGAAGGCGTGGACCCCGTCTCATGCCCTTTAAGCTGCATATTATCTTTTCAGCAACTGCTGATGGACAGAAGCTTTGCTTTCAGCACAATTAAAATGTATGCTGCAGCCATCTCCCATTGTCATGAAGGTTTTAACGACGGGACAGTGTTTAACCATCCTCTAATGTAATGATTTTTGAAAGACGTGCGCAGACACAGACCATTGTCGCGCGCCTCGGTCTCACAAAGGGATCTAGCGCTCGTCCTCAGTGCACTGACTAAAGAAATGTTTGAACTTAGATCACCACTGAAGTTTTTGTCACTTAAAACAGCACTGTTTTTAGCTCTGGCATCAGCAAAGAGAGTGAGTGACGTCAGCCCTTTCTGTAGCTCCTTCTTGCCTAAGAATCCAAGGAGACGGGAGTTCAGCTGTACTTCACCCAAACCCAGCTTTTACACCTTAAAACATCACGTGTGCATTTTAATCCAGAGTTATAACGTTGGATGGGTTTTCCCCCTCCACATAACTCTGAGGAGAAAGTAAATTCCCATCTTCTTTGCCCTGTACACACACTCGCCTGTTATGTCAGCAGCCACATTACGTAAATCTGAGTGCCTGTTCATTCATTTCAGAAACCAGTCACAAGGTCATCACAAGGTTCAGCATGTGTCACAATGGTTAAGGCAAGGCCATATCACAAGCTTATATCTCTTTTAGATTCCCACCTCCAGACAGGCTCAAAGCTCATTCTACCAGAAGAATTTCAACTTCCGCGGCTTTTCATGGAGGAGTATTTGTGCAGGACATCTGTTCTGCGGCTTCTTGGTCCTCATTGATCCCTTTCATCTGCTTTTACCTATGCAACGCCTCCAGTTTCTCTCTGACCCACTCGGTTCTCAGAGTCCTGTCTGAGTGACAACACAGTTGTTCTCACTAAACTCTCCAACTTGCTCGTTTATCCCAGCAGCAGGTGTTTCTAACATTTCTATCTCAGACTAATATATTAAAAAAATCACCTTCCTGTCACCTGGCAACAGGAACAGGCTTTGACATCCCAGTTTTCAGACTGACGCAGAGGCTATGCATCTACCGTTCAGCATGCACCAGGTGCACAGAATTGGGGGTGCGTAATTACGCATGATCCAAGGTTCAACGTGTTCATGAATTTAAGCAGATATCTGTGTGATTGTGGTTTCAGACGGACCCAGTGAGGCATAGACTCATCCTTCTTCACCTTTAAACCCACTAGCGACAGTTTTAAAGAGAGAAGCCTGTATGAAATAAAACGTTGGTTATGTACTATAACTCCAGATTCTATGAGTATAGGCATAGCCCTTTAAGACTTGGGCCTCACTGGCTCCTAAATGGCTGAAGAAAAGAACGCTATTTGAGTGCCGAACCCTGGTCGCAAGGCAATTTATACTGACTGGGGATGGGGCCCACACAGTAGGTGGGCATGGACTAAAGTTTTCAGTGCTGCACTACACACGTGGGGATAAACCCATTAGCGACAGCCTTAAAGGGCTACGCCTATACTCATAGAATTGGGGGTTACAGTGCGTAACCAACGTTTATCCTATTGTTGCCAAGCTGTACATGGAGGAGGTAGAAAAGAAAGCCTTGGTGTCCTTTTCAGGGACACCACAGAGACATTGGTATGCTGATGACACCTGGGTTAAAATTAAATCTCTTTAAGTCGAATGTATCACTGATCGCATCAACTCTGTGGATAAATAAATAAAGTTCACACAAGAAGATGTAAAAAAAAAATGGCAGGTTGGATTTCTTGGACTGTAAGGTCTCAGTTTCTGATGGAGGCTATTTGCAAATTGAGGTGTACAACAAATCCACACACACAGATCAGTATTTGTTTTTTTACGCCCATCACCCACTGGAGCACACGTTAGGAGTCATCAGGATTCTGTACCACAGAGCAGACAGTGTCCCCACTAACTTAGGAGCTGAGGAGAAGGTGAAATCCCACACAAGACAGGCATTGAATCAATGTGGATATCCTAACTAGGCTTTCCTGAATGTAAAGAAGAAACCCAAACAGGACTCCAACCAGCCATCCGATGAAAAAGATGACCACAAATTCAGACCCAGACCAGTGGTCATTACATATGTTGTGGACATTTATTTTCCAAACATGATGTCTAAGTGGCTTTCAAACCCCAAAATACATTACGCCAAAGACTGGTTCATCCCAAATATCTGGTTCCCTGGCACAGAGTAATATTGTGTATGCTGTTAAGTGCCAGGAGGTCTGTGATCAGCCATACATTGGGGAAACAAAGAAGCCAGTCAACAAAAGGTTGGCCCAGCACCAAAGAGCAACATCGTCAGGCCAGGACTCTACAGTCTACATTCATCTGCAAGTCACTCTTTCAGGGATGAAGACATGCACATCCTTGATAGAGAGGAAAGTTGGTTTGAGAGAGGAGTGAAGGAAGCCATCTTTGTGAAGATTTTTTTTTTAATACCTTGTCTCCTCAAGTTTTCTTCCCCCTTTTTTGTCTAAACGATAAGGGCAGCGCTCGTAAGAAGCTGCAGCCCCAGTACACTTCCGTCTATCATTCAGACAGCTGTACAGAATGAAATTTTGCTGTACTTAACTGTGCAATGACAATAAAGTTGATTCTGATTCTGATACAAGTGTTTCAGATCACATAAGCAATTGTTTAAAAATAATTGTCTAAAGTAAACCCTCTTTAACCTCCTATGACCTGGCATCCATATATGCAAGAGTCTGGGTCTTTGGAGGTTAAATGTAGACTAACTCTGTGTTTTCATGTTTGTTTAAACACCATATCCTGTCGTGTGTTCATCATTTTCATGTGCCAGTAAAATGTTCAGAAGCTGCATAAATAATAATGATAATTTCTCAGAAATTATCATTTGGTCATGTTTTGTAAACAATTCTCAGCATTCCCAGTTCAACCCCATGTTCCTTTCCAATCCCAGCTATTCACTTATCTGGAAGTCCCCTGTTAATTAAGGGGGTTATGTGTCCCCACAGGAGCAGGGCATGAAGTCCCCTTCATCTGTGTCTACCCAGTGGGGCTCCTACTTTGTTGACCTGCAGAGAAGTGGAGAGAACACACATGAGGAGGAGCTCCAGAAACTGACCTGGTGCTGCCACTGCATTCACACATACAGCACTATGGCCATCCCCAGCGTGGAGCACATCGCAAGTATGTGGAAGGGTGTGTGTGGAGGGGGGAGGGTGTGTGTGTGTTGGTGGGGTGGGTGCTGGAGGTCAAACATTATCCACCTTATTCCTGGGACTCTACTGTATAAATGATAATGGGTATAACTTCCTGTCAGACATCGGAAGTAGCAGTAAGCATTGGTTAACTATGGTAGTGGAGCATGGACCTTGGTTGAAATATTTGTTTGTTTGAAAGTAATTTTATTTAACATATGTAAAATTGACTAAAATAGTCTTGCTGAGTTCAGGTACCTGTTGTGTTGTTTGCGGCTGCACAAACAACCAGACCAAACTAAATCAGTGTTTTGAGCATGGAACCAAAACAAAAAGAGTGATCCTGTGAAAAGAGGTATAGAAGAATGTGGCTAAACAATGTAAACTCGAAGAACACCCAAAACACAGTATATGTGCTCATTTCATTTTGTTAAACGGCCGACGGAGAAAATTCTGCATCCTACTTTGTGGCTGGTCTACAATAAACCACCGGAGAAGAGACGCTAGATCCTCAGAAGGATTGAAAAGTGTGACAAGAATATCAGGTATGATTTCAAGTGTGTGGCAGCACGGTGGCACAACTGGTAGAGCTGCTGCCTCTCAGCGAGCAGGTCCCTGGTTCAAACCCCGGTCCAGGGGCCTTCTGGGTGAAGTTTGCATGTTCTCTCCGTGCATGCGTGGGTTTTCTCCGGGTGCTCCGGTTTCCTCCCACAGACCAAAAACATGCATGTTAGGCTGATTGGTAACTCTAAATTGTCCCTAGGTGTGAGTGAGAGAGTGAATGGTTGTTTGTCTTGTTTGTCTCTATGTGGCCCTGTGATGGACTTGCGACCCGTCCAGGGTGTACCTCGCCCCTCGCACAGTGATTGCTGGACATGGGCACCAGCGACCCCCGTGACCCAAAATGGAATAAACGGGTAAAGAAAATGGATGGATGGATGGATGGATTTCAAGTGTATGAAGGGCGCAGCATTGTAGAATTTGTTTGTCTTCGATATTATGATTTCCTATGCAGTTAACTAAAGCTCGGTGATGCTCTGTGTACTAATACGCCTCAGAGATTTTCAGGTTTATCGCTTCACTGTTGGAAGCAACTGACTCAATGAAGTAGCTAAATATGCTAGTAGATGTAATCTGCAGCCACTTCTTCAGCTCGTCCTCCATCCCTTGCCTGCAGCGGTATGATTATATTGTCCTGTTTGAGCTCTGACAGGTGGTGTTCTCACATGTTTAAATTAAAGATGCACCACACACAGAACGGGTCCTGAGCGGACCAGCACTCCAAATAAATCAAAAGGGTAAGATGATCAATTCCTGGACAAATCTGGACAAAATTGGACGACCGCGCCGAGTGACGACAACGGCCACACGCCAGGTGACGACCGAACTGTCAGAGCTGGCTAAACGTCAAGAAGTATTGATCAGTTTAGTTGAGGAGGTTAAACAGCTGAAAGTTGCACTAAGAGATAGAGATGTTAAAATTTCTGAACTTGAGAAAAAGGTGGATGAACTAGAACAATACACACGAAGAGAGGATTTATTAATCAATGGACTTTAGGTGAAACCCAGAAACTATGCTCAAGCAGTGGCAGGTGTGGACAACTCAGAAGATGCTCCTCAGGAACAACTGATCACGTTGGAGCAACAAGTGGTGACTTTTTTGAAAGAAAGGGACATTGATATTACACCTGAGACCGTATCAACTTGTCACACCTTACCAACTAAATCAGATAAGAATAAACCACCCATTGTCACCAAGTTCATCAGTAGAAAAGCAAGAAACAATCTAATGGTACAAGCAAGAAAACTGAAAGGGACAAATGTGTACATAAATGAGCATTTAACCAAAAAAAAATGGTAACATCGCCCGTGAGGCAAAGTTGTTGAGGAAACAAAAAAAAAAATAGTGGCAACATGGACAAAAAATGGAAACATCTGGGTTAAGGTTAATGAAGGAACACAAGCTAAAATGATAAAGGAACTGAAGGATTTAGAGAAATTTAGATGAATTAGTTAGGGAATAAATTGAAAAGCAAACTGAAACAACTTGGTACATATGCAATTAATAAAATATGGATGTAAATGGGGCAGCACGGTGGCGCAACTGGTAGAGCTGCTGCCTCTCAGCAAGCAGGTCCCTGGTTCAAACCCCGGTCCAGGGGCCTTTCTGGGTGGA